AAAAAAAAAAATCGACCGACCGACCCAATTTTTTGATTCCATGTAATGCAAAACGAAAAATCAACTTTGCGTGGCCTAATATAGTTTTTCTATAATGCAGGAATGGGATCGCTTACATACAAAAGTATTTGTTTACGTAGGAAAGCTTCTAAGGAAAATTGTAGAGACGATTATTCTCGTTCTAATGGTGATAAAATCATCATAAACCGTCCAGTAGATTCCGAGATAATGGTATTTATCATCGTTTACTATAACGTTTTTTTCTTAAGAACAGAAGCACACGGCATTCCACTTACTATATATAAGGCAACTAGTAAATGCCCGCCGATTTTTACTATGAAATTTATATCCTTTAACAGCAGACTACCCCTTAATGATTTTTAATTTACTTTACTCGAATTACTCGAACTTCAATTCGAAAAAATAATTCGATCATATGATTCGAGTTAATTCGAAACTCTTCAGAATTTAACTGGCGAGTCACGAGTTTTCACGAGTCCAATCTCTAAATCTATCTATAAATTACATATTACATTATAATATTATCAGTTATATATAACTTATAAACGTTTGTTATTCATATTAATAGCTTATACTAAAGATATAAAAATAAAGAGCTCACGAGTCTAGTCAATTATACGTACTTAAGATTAATTCTATAATTGATTATATGGTAATATTCATTAAATTAAATTGCCGAAGTATAGCCTCGTTATGATAATACAAAAAGATCGGGTATAGGCAAACATAATTTCAGATCTTTTAGCGCCTCCCACACTATGTTGAAGATTTAATGGTGCGAAATGTGGAAATTAAATTTTAGCCAATCGAGCAACTTGATGGAAAAAAGAGATGGTTATTTTGTTCATGACTAATTAAAATTTTGTATCGGTATCCTTATTAAGGTATTATGAGTTTAAATTATTAATATAAAAATAGTAATCCGACTTATTAAGGTATTACGAGTGTTTAAATTATTAATATTAAAATAGTAATCCGATAGTAGTGAATAAAGTCAAGCCTCGAACGATTAATTAATCAGCATTATGAAAATACAAGTTGATGAACCTGTTATTAAAATTATTATTGTTCGTCTCAGAGGTACCCATTATGCGCCCCTAACCCGCGCATAATCGTCGTAACCGACCATAATCACGTTACGTCCGTACCACAACAAACAGTATGGGATGAGGTCGCCAAACAAGCAAACTGTTATCACGTGATCAGACTTTGGCGAGTATCGTTTCTTTCTCTTACTTTTTGTTTCCTTTTTTTTTTGGGGTGGAGCTGGACATCATGTCGAGCAGAAAAATTCAAGAACAAAGACACCCGTAGATCATCAGGTCACTCAAATACCAAATTCAAGTGACCTATTGTCACGTGGAAAGTCCAGTGACTCACAATAATGTACCGCCTTGTGACTTCGTTCACAAGCGGGTCAATATTGCGCACCCTAACCGAATAACAAGTAAGTATACAAGCTCTAATTAAAAGTCTATGTATTTACTAAATCCCGTAGCGAAGCTACGGGTCAATTGCTAGTTACCCTTGAAAAGACACGATACCGTTTCCAGCAAAGATCACAAAAAAAATCACTGGGACAAGTAAGAATATCCCCTACTGCTACTCGAAGTAAAAACTTTTCCATTGTTGAAGGGAAAAACACAAACTTTACAAGAGATGTTCGCGAAGGAGAAAATCTTGTATTATCTGGTGAAAAATATAATGTTTTGGAGATAATTAATGATACAACCTTAAAGATTTCTAAATATTTTCAATCTGCAAGTAATGAATGGATGGAATTTAGAATTGAGCCAAAAACATGCCTCAACGGTCTTATCGATGCTTATAGATTAATGTTTGAAAAATATTCGGTTGACAGTAGTATTGATACGGAACAAACTCGGCCTCTAAGTTTATTAATCGCTTTAGATATACAAGATGACGAAAAAGTTGAAGATTATAAGGAAAAATTTGAAGATTATATTTTTGAAATGTTTGAAGAACTAAAACGATCAACGAAAAAACCAGCTACTTCTCTAAAAAAGTATTAAGGAATTTCTTTTCTATAAACAAATTTTACTATTGCTTCAAAATGTAATATAATAAATTTTTTATTTTTAGGTTTACGAAATCTGTTACTACTTTCAATAATCTCAATATCGTTGATCCCGAATTTCAACAAGAAAACACCACTGAATATCAACTCGGAGAGTATGTGTTTATTTATATTATAAATGATGAAATTATCGTAACATTACTAATTCGAATCCTCATTTTAAATATGAAATATAAAGATGGATAATTCAATTATCAGTTTTACTTCCAATTCAAATCGCTGTTGCACGCAATAATTTGTTCACACCATTAAGAGATGGTTTATCATCAGAAGTTGAACAAGCAGACCTTGAAGATGGATATGCCAGGCATGTTGATGCAATTGCACAAAATATAAGTTTCGGATGGTACGAAGGTATATTTAAACATTTTGGAAATCGTCAAGTTAAAGTAGTTAGTTCAATGGGAGAACAAAGTTGTGGAAAATCGTGAGTTTTATTTATAATTTACCATTTTAATAATCAAAATCGAATAAGAGGAATTTTTATTTTAATAAAACTTTTTATTTTAGTTATATGTTAAATCATTTGGTTGGAACCACATTTGATGGTTCTGCTATGGTAAGATTTATTATAATATTGGACTTTATAATTTCAATATTATTGATTATTTTTATTAAATTTAGCGATGTACTGAAGGAGTATGGATGTCATTAGGTATATTTCTACTCTTATGTACATATGATTATGCGTTAGTTACAGTAAATATAAATTAATTGCTACACTTTCACTAATTTAATGTAGTTATTACTAAAAAATTCTTATACGTTGCTCTGGATTTCGAGGGACTTAAATCTCTTGAACGAACACCTCAAGAAGGCACGTGAATGCTTGTTTTTGTTATATAATAACACACAAGTTAACATTTTTTATTTTATAAATTATATAGATTTATTTTTAACATTATTTAATACCGTTGTATCAAACATGATCCTTTTCAAGGTAAATCTGGATAGTAATTAAATAGATAATTTATATCATCATTTATCTAAAATCTATTTTTCTGTAAAACAGAATCAGTTTGCTATAAATAGAGATATGTCAACAATGTTTCAAAGGTTCCAGGATGGTGCAACTTTATTTGAATCTGATCCAAAGATATTTCAGGCACAGTACAATATATAAACTTTAATTTTAAGAAAATTTTTCTCGTA